TGATCCGACTCTTAATCCACTTGGTATGTTTTATTTGAAGATCGCCCATACTGAATTTTTGTTGCTTCAGATTCATTGGCAGGACACATTGACGCGGCTGTTTATTCCTGTGCTGAGCTGTAGTTCATCCAGATGCATACCTGAGTCTAGAACTAGACTATGGTTACTCCCCTTTCGAGCTTGAGCTAAAGCAGTTTCAGTACCCTGATCATGTTTGCCTTGGGTTCTACGACAATGTGGAGTATCTCTGTTGCATTACTTCTCTTGGATGGTGAGAGTGATTGCATTTGTTTGCTACAATTATTCTTGTGTCTGCTTACCATGGGCCTAACAAAATTTTTGTTTGTTTTGATAGTGTTTGGTATGACAGCTCACACCCCACACATTTGAAACTTGATGGCAACAAGATAAAGTACCAGTTCAGTCTCAAAGGGGAGATGCACTACAATGGGATGGATGCTTGGGTACGTGGATTCAATGAGAGAGAGATTAAGATGATGGAGATGGTTGGATTACCAGTTTGGAGGGGTTTTGTATTTCCTGATGTGTCGGTGAGTTAAAAATTGTAACGCTAATATGTGGCCCATAAGTATATGTTGTGTAAGATGCTTACATAAACTGATTGGTTGATGCAGTTGCACTTTGAGAACATCTTGGACCCGGAGGGGGCTGTTGTGCTGCGGATGTTGCTTTCTTCTGGGAGCATTGGATATCAGTTGAGACTTTGACGCGTGGTACGTGGCAGCTTGCTTCCCTTAAGTAGCCGTGGCCGTTGTTGTTCCAAACTTATATCTTTCATGCTGATGCAGATAATGATGCCTATCTCAATGATGAGAGACTGGTGCTTGTACGTGTTTGACATGCATATGAAGAAACTGAATGTCCTCGACCCAGTTTTCACGCAGATGGGTTCAGATGCGTATGGAGCTAGGCACAGGAAGACAATCATGTTGATGCTTAATGGTATGAAGTGCGCAGGTGCGCTGTTAGACGATGGATGGCAGATGGACATATCACAGTGGACCGTGAGGTACAACATGAACATGCATGTTGCATGTGGAAGGTGCGATGATTGTGCATTGTACATCAAGTATTTGCAAAAACTATATTACTTCTCTAACGGACATGCTTGTCATTGCAGTGGTTAGTCTCCTGGCTACATAGCTTACTACGCGGAGAACTTCAATGCCACTCGCCTGGAGGTCGACGTACCGCATGCAAGAGAGCTATTATTTAAGCTAACGATGGTTTCCCGGTGAAGTTCCTATTTATTCTACAAGCATTGACATGATGTTTTGATCTTTGCACCAGGTTGGTCTGCCGGTTAGAAGGAAGAGGATGTCGTACGAGACGATGGCGGCAAAGGGAAATGCTGCACCACGCCCAGGAATCATGGAGCAGGTGGCTGATCCAGAGTAGAATACAACGCCTTGGAGGTGCACACGTAGTTCTCTAGGTTGTTGACGTAGTTCGCGGAGCCTACTTTGGCATTATTTCGCGGGGACGTGGGCAATGCTCGTGCATGTCTTTTGGTTAGGGCGTAACAGTAATGGACCATGGTTAGTTCGAAGAAACACAATTGGTGAAACTGGTGTATGCTATTAATGCAGTGCCATCCATCGTGTGTTCGATGTGATGGCTCCTTTTGTCCAACATCTCTTTGCTTTTTGAACTTGAAAGTAACTGTTGGTGCAACGGTACACTCCCTCATTGATGCGCCCTGGGTTGAAAAATGTATAAGAAGGGGGAGAAGGGTAGAAGGGTGGGTGGTGTTGGCAACCAGCAAGCTCTAGACATACAAGCAATGTCGACCTCCTCTGCTTCCTCTTCCTCCAGGGCTCGTAGAGGGTTTTCTAGACCAGTGAGGTCTCCCATTAGGTACATAGAGGGGCCGCTGGACTACGAGCCATTCACACCATGTGATTGTCGTGAGAAGCCTGATACGTCTCCAACGTATCTATAATTTTTGATTGCTCTATGCTATATTATCTACTGTTTTGGGCATTATTGGGCTTTGTTATCCACTTTTATATTACTTTTGGGACTAACCTATTAACCGGAGGCCCAGCCCAGATTTGCTGTTTTATGCCTATTTCAGTGTTTTGAAGAAAAGGAATATCAGACGGAGTCGAAACGGAACGAAATCAACTGGAGAAGTTATTTTTGAAAGGAAACACACCTGATGGACTTGGACCCCACGTCAAGGAAGGAATGAGGTGCTCACGAGGGTGGGGGCGCCCCCCTAGGGCGCCCCCCTGTCTCGTGGGGCCCTCGTGGCTCCCCTAACGTGCCTCCTGCACCCATATATACCTACGTGACTTAAAACTTCCAAAACGCAAGATAGATCGGGAGTTCCGCCGCCAGAAGCCTCCGTAGCCACCAAAAGTCAATCGGGACCCTGTTCCGGCACCCTGTCGGAGGGGGGAACCCTCACCGGTGGCCATCTTCATCATCCCGGTGCCCTACATGACGAGGAGGGAGTAGTTCTCCCTCGGGGCTGAGGGTATGTACCAGTAGCTATGTGTTTGATCTCTCTCTCTCTCTCGTGTTCTTGATTTGGCACGATCTTGATGTATCGCGAGCTTTGCTATTATAGTTGGATCTTATGTTTCTCCTCCCCCTCTTCTCTCTTGTAGTGAATTGAGTTTCCCCTTTGAAGTAATCTTATCGGATTGAGTCTTTAAAGATTTGAGAACACTTGATGTATGTCTTGCCGTGGATATCTGTGGTGACAATGGGATACCACGTGCCACTTGATGTATGTTAAGGTGACCAACTTGCGGGTTCCGCCCATGAACCTATGCATAGGGGTTGGCACACGTTTTCGTCGTGATTCTTCGGTAGAAACTTTGGGGCACTCTATGAGATTCTATGTGTTGGTTGAATAGATGAATCTGAGATTATGTGATGCATATCGTATAATCATACCCACGGATACTTGAGGTGACATTGGAGTATGTAGGTGACATTAGGGTTTTGGTTAATTTGTGTCTTAAGGTGTTATTCTAGTACGAACTCTAGGGCTGTTTGTGACACTTATAGGAATAGCCCAACTGATTGATTGGAAAGAATAACTTTGAGGTGGTTCCGTACCCTACCATAATCTCTTTGTTCGTTCTCCGCTATTAGCGACTTTGGAGTGACTCTTTGTTGCATGTTGAGGGATAGTTATATGATCCAATTATGTTATCATTGTTGAGGGAACTTACACTAGCGAAAGTATGAACCCTAGGCCTTGTTTCAACACATTGCAATACCGTTTACTCTCACTTTATCACTTGCTACCTTACTGTTTTTATTATTTCAGATTACAAAAACTATTATCTACTATCCATATTGCACTTGTATCACCATCTCTTCGCCGAACTAGTGTACCTATACAATTTACCATTGTATTCGGTATGTTGGGGACACAACAGACTCTTTGTTATTTGGTTGCAGGGTTGCTTGAGAGAGACCATCTTTATCCTACATCTCCTACGGATTGATAAACCTTAGGTCATCCACTTGAGGGAAATTTGCTACTGTTCTACAAACCTCTGCACTTGGAGGCCCAACAACGTCTACAAAAAGAAGGTTGTGTAGTAGACATCAAAGCCAAAAGCAGCCATGTGGATCTCATGGAGTGACGAGAACCCAGGTAGAAGATACAAGACATGTTACCACTCGAGGGTAAGTGCAATTTGAAGTACGATGTTGTCGCTTCCTGCCTCTTGTTAGTTGCTTCTGAAATAATCATTGTTCTAACTCTTCCTCCGTGATCTTTCACTTGGTTAGAGGGGAGGTTGTGAGTTCTACGAGTGGCACGACAATCCGATCACAGATCCTTTCCTCAAACAGCTGGTTATCGATCTTAGGGACAAAGTGTGGTTACTTGAGAGGAGGAACGCTGCTCTGCAAGATGCTATGAGGGCAGCAGAAACTGAAGCGGCAAATCTATCTCGGCAACTTTCAGAAGCTATGGAGTCGGCCATGGACAGCCGTGCTAAGATGATGGTGGCTGGTGTGGCTTGTGGTGATGTTGCTAGCCAGTCTGGTGACAATGCCTGCGTTTTGGGCAAGAACTACGTTAATAATTCTGTGTGGGTGTTTGCCATAGCTCTTGCAATCTACATGCTGATCATTGTTTGGTAAAATAGTCTAGGCTAGCATAAATGTATCCTTTAGTAATGCATGAGTTATTGTTAGTTTGTGCCTGTATGCATCTGTAGGAGCTGTGTACTGTATCCAATTGTATTAGTCACCACATTATTGTGTACCAGAACCGGTTATCGCTATCAATCCTGATGCTTCAGATCATGAAAGATAGTTGTTGTTCTCAAAAAACAGGTTTGAAAAGTGTCGGCGCGGGAAAGGAGAACAAAAAGGCTTGTTCGGATCATCCAACGAACTGATGACCGGGCACATCATAGTGAAAATGGACTAGCATGGAAATAATTGGGAAGAACCAAATTGATAAAAAGTGTGTTACATAATATTTGTTTGCAGCAGCAGTGCACCTAGCAAAACATCAACTGCTAGTGTTTGCATGAGCAAAACAGTGTCCTTAAAAACATTTAGTCTTGCATGAAAAATGTCCATATCTGAGGGTTCATCCATCTAGCGTCTAAGCCAATTAGCATCAACATACCAATATCAAAGCGCTACAGCGCTACGAATGACCCCTTAATAGCTTCAAGTGCATCGGAAGGTACTGGAGATTCATTGCCTTGCAAGCGCATAACCTCATAGAGCATCAGGTTCATGTGAATCTCCAGGTTCGCCTGTTATGCATCCGTAATAACAATTAATACGACGTGGATAAGATGCAAAGAGTTTTGTTGCTAAAACACTAAAGATAGCTTACTTTAGTTAGTGGGATCTGGAGTTTGTCACCATTATAATTCCTGGCGAAGAACGAAGCACACACGCCATAGTCTTCCCTGTGGGAAAGTTTGTTTGCCATCACATAATTTAATTTGGGTGAGCAGCTAACAATGATGCAAAGTGGTCTTCAGAACTTACTTTTCAATGTTCTGTAACATGATCATAGGAAATGCACGGGTCCATTCTCCGGAACTGCAGTGCCAAGAATCATATAAGGATTGGATGCATCTGAAGAGTGCAGTGTGAAGCAGGTCGGACACATATGTGTGCATGTTGATCCTTCGATTGCTAAACCCAAATGGGCCGACAGCCGGGTCTAGCACTAAAATCCTTCGCCTGGCCATGTCGAATGCGTAGACGGCCCATCCGTCCGGTAGGAGTGCAGGTATATGCCACTGCCACAGAAAACAGATAGTAAGAAGTCATCAATGAGTTATGTTGAAATATAGTTTAGTTTAGATATTTATTTTTTTGGGTTCACCATCCGACTAGAGGCTGGGCTGAAAATCTCGTTTTCTTCTGTAAATGTTGCACGGATCGACTGGATGGTCAATGGATCGGCATTGGATAAAACTGCGGTATGCAAAACACAAGAAACAGACTTAAAAAACAAAAAAGATATAATGCCGAAAGAAACTATGTATTATGACTGATTTATTGGCAGGAGCTCACGGCAAAATCAGGCTCGAAAAACTTCCTCCAAAACATAGTCAAAGTGTCCTTCGAATAGGTCTTGTCTAGCTGTGAAAGCCTCCTAAAAATAACATCACACATCTCATGACTAAGCTGTTATTTTCCTGATAGTTGTTGTTGGATTTCAATGCCGTCGAGCAGTATGCGTCTTGGTTTTGGATGCATAATCCATTTCCTGAACGCATATATGGTGTGAGGAAAAGCTGTGCAATATACTAAATTGAAAATGTTGAGTGGATCTTTATGAAAATACCTTTCAAGGACGAACGTGGATGACACAGCCAACCAATCTTTTATGGCTCTAAGGACTGGGACTGCGGGCGGCAGCGAAACTGAACCAGTTGACCATGGGTCGCAGGCGATGTTGCATTTTGTTATCCGAATTTTGGCTGGCACGGTGTCGTTTGTAGATCCGAATGTAACATATCCAGAGCTCGGACGTTACTCGACATAGTACGTGACTATGCTAGCAGTCAGGTCATCAAAGAATGAATAAATCGTACTGGCAACCTCTTGGCGAGTGTCTTGCTTCGCAGACAGAGATGAGTTGTTGACAGTATCTACTGCTGAATGGGCAACTGCTTGGAGTGGGTCGTCAAGCCGAAGACACACCTTCTTTGATGATTCCGTCTGGATGGCCGGGCTGAACACAACTCCCCTCTTCCTTGCAATGGAACTATTGGCCGACGAGCTACCTGCGTCAGAAATGATTCTTAAAACCGTTACTTTTAAAGGGTGTCAGTTGAACTAGGCATTGTATGTAAACTAAATGCATTTTTTCGAAACAAACCGTCGTTTTCGAGTTGTCCAGCCATCCGGGGAGAAACCTTGTCAGAAACAGGGATAACAAACGAATTGTCTATTTTTTCTTGCATAGGGATGTTGGCCAAGTTGGTGCAATTGTTTTGATTTTCACTCTTCAGGATGCATTGTTTATGTCCGTTGGCCTTGCAACAAGAACAATTCTCAGCGATGCAGTTGATGAGCTTGTCTGCAAATGTGAACATTGATGACTGGAAAGACTGCCTCATCTCTGAAATGTTTGCCAGTCCTCGAGCATTGTGCTCACGGAGAAGTATCCCGAGCTTCTCACCAGACTGTTCACAAAAATGCAGCGTCGTGATTAGTGTATACGGTAAATGATTCAACATGCTTGACAAAAATCAAGATCGATGTGTGTACTTACTATTGTTGGATAGTTTGTACGTATGTGGTTTGAAAAATCTTGTGGACCAATTTTATTGTAAGTAGCTCTTAAAATAGGCACCGATGGTATCTGGACTCGTTTCGTCGTATTAGACTGCCTCGGAATGTTTTCATTTGCGAGCTCGGTTGATGCACATACAATACCTTTGCTGACGTTTTGTTCAGCCTTGACCTGGTCAACATAAATAAAAAACAATTACGGCTTGCTCACGAAAAATGAGTATGTCTTCCGATCATGTATTTTTCGTGGACTAACCGATGCCCCGTGAAATGATATTTCCACCCATGTTTACGGATGTGATATCAATCATCTTCTTCATCGACTCGTGCTCAAAAAGCGCTATCCTTGGGTAGATTCCGCGTGGTTTGTTCAGCTGGCCAAGCTCGAGGCTGTCAAGCACAAACACCTGAAAACATATGCATCTAGCATTGTTAGATTGGGCAAAAAAATTAAAAACCAGCTTAATGACAGAGGCTTCGCTGTGCGCTAGATTTGTACCCGTAGGAACAGATGGCATTTAATGACATCTGAGTTGAATTTCCTTACAGCATTGAACAGATGTTTCAAAATGTAGCCACACCAGTTTCATCTTCGGATTCTGCCAACATCACTCAAGGCAGCCCAGAAATCTATTGTTACGGTAATCATGTTTGGCTGATGGAGCAAGAACATGGCCAATTACAAAGATGACAAATGCAATTTTGAAACAATCCATGTCAATTTTTCTAGAGTTGGCGGTGATGTCCCGCATTAGGTATGCCTCTGCTGCCTTCAAGCTGTGTGTACCTTTGTCATTGATGCTAGCTGCGAAACGTGTATACTCAATGCAAGCTTCAGACGGTTCGACACCTTCTGGACCAATTGCTAGCTCACCGCGTGGTATTGCAAAAACAGAGTGAACCGACTCGTCTGTAAGCTCAAGCATGCCCTGGCCTTCTAGGTTGACCACGCTGTTGTCAACATCTACTCTATCCATGAGGTAAGCGCTGTACTTGAGATTTATCTTTTGCCATGACTTGATCTGAAGCAACCCGTCGAATCCTATTTCTCTGACTAGTTGTTTCTTGAAATCTGAAAACTTGCAAATAACATAACCTAGCTTGAGCAAAGATAATCTAGACGTAATTGCTGGTGTTCCTGGTGGACCGCTGGATCCACCATCACCACCAGAACAATCGTCATCGCTGTCCAACTCATCTGGCGAAACCTCGCTCGCTGGATCTTGGTTTGCCACTCTAGCGGATTCAGCGGCGGCGAAAACGGGATCCATCCCGACAAAAGCCATTACCTATTTGCGCGAACACTATTCAGATTGATGAAGAACAGCTAAATCACTACTAATGGCGTGAGACTGATGCTGTTCATACCTTTGGATCGGCTGCCTTGGATTGGAGAGGAGCAGGTCCGTGAGAGGGCAAAGCATAAGTTGAGTGCTTCCGGCGGGGGATGTCAGCTCCTGTGCTCGACCATGGAGTTCTACCTCCTAGCTCGCGGCCTCGTTCTTCCTCCCTCTCTGGTGCGTGGGTGGGTGGGAGGAGGATGGTTGGAGAAGATGAACTCGGCGGCAGATGCAGTAATTGCGTGAAATGACTAGACCCCCTGGATAGAATTGATGTGTGGTGGGCCCTCAGCCAACTTTTTGCACGTCGAGACGTGACGAAAACAGTGTGATGGCAGCTGTTCCATCCGGCCCATCGCGAATCTGGACCTCGACGTACTTAACCAACAAACTACACGGTCTAGCTGGTAAAAACAAATTACGTGTTTAATTACTGAGGCACAAGATCATGGTGGGAAAACAAGTCCAAAACGGTGTCATATTTATGATTAAGTACGATAGTTCGCGGGATATTGTCATTTTCCAACCGCGAACTCCTTTGATTATACATCAACGTAGGGTCGGTGACAATCCACAGCCGGTGCTCTTTGATTGAATTTGGTCCATCTCACGCTAATATGCTGTTAATGAAGCATTATCTGTACAGTCAGAACCATAACAGTGAAGGGGGTGAATGGGTGATGGAGTGGCTCACGTGCGAGGGTGAAATACTGTCCACATGGGCGATCCGCTGTTTGCTGCATGCGCATGCTCGAGTGTACCTGGTACATCAACATAGAGCTGGATTATGTCGCTACAACGCCATCGCTGGCAACCAGAACACGTGGGCGGGAATCGTCTAGGGGGGGACAGCTCCCGCAAATACTGTGATGAAGCTGGCCAATGTGTAAAACAGACGGACTGGATAAAGTCCTCATAGTGCTCGTCCGCCGTTCGGCATTTTCGCGTGATAGACACGCTCCAGTTTTCTACTGCTACAGTAGGAGAGAGCCGGCAGAGGAGTGGGCAAGCATGCACGGTGTCCATGGTCAATGCAGATCGATGCTGCACGTAATGGGTCGGAGACAGTCACATGTACTGTGACTGACTGGAGTGGGCGAAGCATGGACGAGTGGCGGTGGCTGGTTTGTCTCCGGCCCTTGACTTGGGGGCATACGTTGCGCCCATGTGGGGAACGTCCGGACCGGAGGACGAGGAGCCCCCATCATCAAGGGTCAATTAACAACTCACACGCACAAAAACACCCACGCGCGCATGCACACCCCGGCGCGACCGAGTATTGCAGGAAGTGATGTTTCCACGTGCATGACACGGCGATCAACACCGATCGACATGCATGCTGATCCAAGAACTCTAATCACTAGCCCATAAGCCATAACCATCGAATCACACAAGGCGTCTGCATGCATGCATGCATAAAAAAAGAAGAAGAATGCAGCAGCGATTCCTGGACCTGGACCGTGTCGTGACTCGTGAGCCCGGGCGCGCGTGCACAACAAAGTGACTATCCAAGACACACCGATCGACGTAGAGACACGCATGGCTCGCTATCGATCGATCCACGTACTAGCTAGCGAGGCTCACGCAAGAGAGCGCCGCGGCAGCAGGCAGACAGCCCGCCCGCTGCTTGCAGCTTGGCCCCCTTGGGCCCCGACACCATGTCCCCCGCCGCCGCGAGTTCACCCTCTCCAGATCGACCTCCACTATCACCGAGCATCGTTCGCGCCATCTATTACAGTATCTCCCTCTAGTCTCCACACTCGCATGTTGACCAAATTTGAATTTTGTTTGAAGTTAGTGAATATGACCCAGAATTTTGAGTTACAAATATTTCGGTACACGCGGAAATTACCAAAATATTGGAAAACTTGTTGATTTTTTAACCATGCTCATGTCTTTAGAGTTATTAACTGCAGTACTACCCAAAACCTCCTTTACACATGATGTGCAATAATCCTTCGTCCAAATTGCCTCCAGAGTTAGAATACAAGTTGTCTCAGTGTATTTTCAGAACTACTTCAATGACATTCGAGAGACATTTCACCATGAACTCGGACTGAATTTGTAGAACCAAAATGAAATTTCAGAAATATCCCAAAACAACAAAAGTACAACCAAACTGTACGTTGGAGACCCGTCGTTGCACCCTAAAAAAAAAGACCCGTCGTTGCAGTGGTGCTTTTGTATGTTCTGGACATGGACTTCTCCAGATCAAACAAATACTATTGTCCAGATTGGTGAACCTCACCAAAATCAAACTAAAATCATGCATGAAATTGAACAAAGAATTTATCAGGAAAGAACTGCAGAAGGTGGAGAGATCGAATCTAGACTCCTCTCGTGGCACGGCTTGTAGTTCATTGCCATCGATAACGCCGCTCACCTTCTTCGCCAATCTCGGAATGAAGCTTGGTTATCATATCGGCCTAACAAGCCACTGGTGGGCAAACGAGCTAGCACCGCGCACACTGGTGCCACCACACATCTAGCTTCCCGTGGAAAAAAAATCTTATACGACAGGGTCTTTCCTTCCAT